AGATGAACTGAGTTCAAGATACGTGAGGGTGTCAGCCTGTCAATGCTGAACAACCCGGCCTGACTCCAATGTGCTCTGTTAACCCGTGTGCTTGTGTCTGAGTGCATTTTATTGTTGCCCTGATGAACTGAGTTCAAGACATATGAGGGTGTTAGTCTGTCAATGCTAAATAACCCAGCCTGGCTCAGGTGTGTTAATTTGTGTGTGTATGTGCATATATGTGCTTGACTGATTTGGTGGTTAGAGGAACCCAACCCCACTAAAACTGAGTCCTGCAAGATAACTGTATTGGGGGTGAGGACTTGCAGAAGGGAGAGATACATCTCTGTATAGAAACACAAGTAACACAAGCAGCACATTGATAGAATTACAGAGGCCCCAAAAACATACCCCTAATAAATGAGTGCACCCCAAAGTGACAGGCAAATCTGGTAACAATGTGACATCAATGTAACACCAACTGGTGTAAAGGTTTCATCTGGCCAGACTCAGATTGATTCAGAATAGCTGCTGAAGCAGCTCAGTGTTCTCCATATTGTACACAGGCCCTACTGGGTACCAGGGCATTGGCATTTCAACATATATCCAAATTGTCAGCCTTAATAGAGAGATCAAGGCTTGAATGGTCCGCACTGTGCTAAGTGGTGTCCAGAGCCTGCCTAAACCATTGACTTTGCAATGGGAAAAGACAAAAAGGGAGCAGGAAAAGGCTATGCGCTATAAGCAGAGAAGCCGGGGTGACTAGCATGAGTGACAAGTGGCAGAGGCTGGGGCTGTATGAATGATGTGAGGGGTGACTGTGCCATAAAATGTGAAGCAGAGAATTATCCACATTGCATCACAATATATATGTTATTTATGGGGAGTTAGGCCCCAGCATAGCAGGGCTATTAAGACATACTGATACCCTGGGGATCTCCTTTTAAGACCCACACTAACTCAAAGGGATCACAGGTTTACTTTAGCATTGGGCCCTGGCCTTGTTACTGCCTAGTGAAAGTCACTATCCATTATATACTTGGCCCAGAAAATCTTGACAGCAAATCTCAGCTTCATGGAGATGCAGGAGGTAAAGCAAAGGCGTAGCCTGAATCCTTTCCAAGCCTATCCATTATAATTAGTTAAAGAGCACCCTTAAATCAGAAGGTTCTCAAAGTGATTTGTAAGCTAAATATGAAGATATCATTCCCTCAGCTCTCAAATGCAGCCACCTCCTGGGGGAACACAGCAGCCATTCTGCAACAGCAACACTAAGCAGTAACATTTAGGAGGAGTAGTGACAAATGACAGCTTTCATTCAAATGGCAAGGGTATTTCTGCAGAATATAGCTCCCCAGGGCAGAACTAGGGCTAATTCCTCCCAGCAGGGGCCGATCTGGTGGGGGAGGAGGGCAGGGGGGGGCACTGCTGCACTTGCACCCCACTTTGATTCTTGGTCCACCCCAAGTTTAAAACTAATCACCTGGCCAGTGGCAGCAGCATTTCTAGTCAGGCTGTGCTGAGGGAATCACTTGACATCAGGGCTCATTATAACTACCTAATCCAGGGGTAGGCAACGTTTTTTGGCCAGAGTGCTGAAACCCCCCACACTGCCTACCTTGGAAGATGCCGGAGTGCCGACATGCCAGAAACACAAAACAAGTGCAGGGGGTACATGGCAGGATGCCCTGCTTGTGCCCCTTTGCCCCCCACCCAAAGCCCC